ATACAAACTTGAATTGGAAATCCCAAGAGGAATTTCTTGAATTGTCAAGCGATGGAGGTTTAATGATTAAATTCTCTGCTGTGCCATTACCAGAATTGTGGATTGTGCTGTTCGTGGAAAAACCTCTCAGAACAATTACGCCTTTTGCTGCAACTTACATGTGTGAGGCTGACAGCCCTGAAGAAAAAACACAGCACTTTTGTACGTGGAAAGTGATGTGCGAGTGTCACTGACTGGAATTAAACCATATGATTCCTTGTGCCAAAATTACCAGGCACACCCATCTCATTAGGCATTTAGAACACAGCGTTTGTGTGATATCTACTGTAACATTGTAATATCTACATTAACATCTGCATTAAGCATGACCTTTTATTTTCTGTAATTCTTTTAATGTCGTTTGCAGTAAGGTGCTCAAATTCTATGGATTTATTGTGTGAGGGTCCTCAGTTAGAATGTCTAATGTGATGGGGAGCCTTGAGCCCAGAAAGCTCGGGAACCACTGACCTAATGAACAGAAGATGTTCATTTTAGCAGGAAAAACTAGCCAGCAAGCAAGCAACAAGCAGACTGGTTGAGTACATGCCAAATAAATGGGGTCCAAAGTCCAACTGGATTATAAGTAAACCCATGCCATAGTGAAGTGCATTTTAGCAGGGATGCACTATGTTACTTTCTTTTGGATCCCAATACACAGATCTTTTAACAATCATAGCAGCAACATTCAGAGTCCAGGCTCAACCCTGAAAGTCCACTAGGTGGCAATCAAGCCATACTGAAGTAAGAAGGTGGCGGCTGCTGTTTATAAGTGCTTAAGCATCCTTTGATTTTTTTTGTTTTGTAACCTATTTACTTGAACTGTAATAGAATTTGGTTTACAAGTGTGTACTTAACGTTAAGCACCGTGGATTATAATGGGTATCATCACAGTTAGTCTGTGATTGCTATTTTTCATTTTAGTTGTGTGCAGCTGAAAAATCTGACAGAATTTATGAAGCACGGGGCCTATGAAAGCAATTACATTTGTAACTCTTAAGTATAAGCAGTGTGGATTTACTGGATACAGGAGTAGAAAGGAGAGCTTGGTTTTGAAGTAATTAGACCCTCTCTGTAAAGCCATGTCTGGTTGCCAAAAAAGTATGATATTAAGAGAATGGTGTATAACCAACTCACTTAATTATCATAGTAGGATCAAACTGGTAGTTTTTTTAATTGGGTATTTTGCGGGCAAACATGGTAGCCAATTTTGCAGAGCAATGTCCCACAAACAGCCAATTTCATTTGGGAGATTGTTGGCCAAGACACTAGGAGAAACTCCCAGTAACTTGCTATAGTTTGTGACAGAAATTGTAAAAAGAAACCCTATAAGCTTTTTGACTACATTAGATGTATTGGGACATTAAGATCATACATAAACCAGGATCAATATTTATCTACTTGTAAAAGATCTATAATTAGAGTCCCATGTTTTTCATAAATACAAAATAACACATACACGGTATTTAGCAGAATGATACCAGGAATGAGGGACTTTAGTTATGTGGAGAGACAAGAGAAGCTGGGATTGTTCTCCTTAGAGCAGAGAAGGTTAAGAGGAGATTTAAATAGAGTTAGTTCAAAATTATGATCGAGTAGATAGGGAGAAACTGTTTCCGCTGGCAGGTGGGTCAGTAACCAGGGCACATAGATTTAAGATAATTGGCAAAAGAACCAGAGGGGAGAGAGAAGAGAGTTGTTACAATTTGGAATGACTGCCTGAAAGGTTGCTGGAAACAGATTCAATAACAACTTACAAAAGGGAATTAGATAGGTACTTGAAAAGTCATGATTTTTTCTAAGAGGAAACTTAATGATTACATGAGGGACAGGAGAATATAGGAGAGGGAATTTGGAGGGTCGAGGCTCATGTTGAATGTAAATTCTGGAACAAAGTAGATGGCCCGAATGGCCTGTTTTCGTGCTGTAATGTTGTATGTAATTTTACGTAATTCTTTCTACAGTAGATGTGCAGGTAACTCAGTCATGCATTTTTGATATAATTTGCATTCAACATTTGACAACAGTGTTATATAATTTTACCACAGGAAGTGTAATTGAAGTATTAATTGACCAGGTGCAGTTGGTAATGGCTTATTAAGTTATTCAAGGGCAGAACCTTCACGGTTCTTTCCTTGACTGGGTCAGATTGTACCTCTCACACCACCTCCATGTCTTCTCCACAAACGTTTTTTTCTCAACCCCCCACATTGTCTCGTGCGACATTCCTAAGGGCTCTATCTTTGGTCCCCTCCTTTTCAATATCTATATGCTCCGTCTTAGTGACATCATCCACAGATATGGGGTCAACTTCAACATGTATGTGGATGATACCGAACTGTACCTCTCTGCTTATACCCTTGAATCCAGGACCACTGTTGTCCTGACAGAATGTCTGTCAGACATCAAGTCCTGGATGAGAGCTAATTTTGCACGTCAACAATACTGAGGCCCGCCTGATTGGTTTCCATCAGCGCCTCCACACCTCAGGCGCTGACAGCATCACCATCCATGAATGCACACTTCACCTTGCTAAGTGAATCTGGAACCTTGGCGTCTTGTTTGATCCTCAAATATCCTTTCTACCCCATATCCATGCCATGACCCGCTCTGCCTTCCCCACCTCCGCATCATCGCCCGGCTTGGCCACTGTCTCGCACCGCAGGTCGCTGAAACTCTCATACACGCATTCATAACATTGAGGCTTGACTGCAAACTTCCTGCGTGTTGGCCTCCTCAACTCCTCCCTCCATAAGCTGCAGATCATCCAGACCTCTGCAGCCGGTGTCCTCTCCGGCACTAGGCTCTGTGACCCTATCACCCCCATCCTCACCCGACTCCACTGGCTTTCCATCACACAGAGGATACAGTTCAAGATCCTGGTCCTCACCTTCAAAGCCCTCCATGACCTTGCTCCTCCCTACCCCTGCAACCTCCTAACCCCCTACCATCCTGCCCACTCCCTCTGTTCAGCAGGCTCTGGCCTGCTTCACATCCCTCGCCTCGCCCGCCCCACCATTGGCGGGCAGTCCTTCTGCCACTCTGCCCCCACCCTCTGGAACTACATCCCGCAGTCCCTCGGCCTTGCCCCCTCCCTTGCTTCCTTCAAGACCCATCTCAAGACCTTCCTCTTCGACGGTGCTTTCGATCACCCTGCTTCTCTCCCTGCCCTCCACCCTCCCAATCCCGACCACCATCTCGGGTCCGAAACACTGACTGTCTAACGTTTTGGGATGTCCTCCTGACGTGAAAGGTGCTATACAAATCTAATTTTGTTGTTGTTGTTGTTATGCTTTCCAATCAAGTACAATTCTGATTTCCAAATCTTCATTTAAATAAAGGATAAAACCCGCACCTTTGCATCAAAATCTTTCAACTCAATGAATATTCAAATTTCTTCTTGTTGCTGCTGTTGTACAACTTGCATTGCTTCACCAAAGCTGTAGTTAAAGAGTCACCAGAGTGATTAAATGTAAGCGTTGGGCTCAATAAGAAGCAAGGCAGCAACATTTTATGGGCTGGGAAATGAGGCATAAATTTGGTTTTAAGTTACTATGTAAAACTTTTATAGACTGCACTTGAGATCCTGCTCCAAAGTAAAAATAACAGCTGACTCCCCATTCACAGAACAGCATAAAAAATAGCCTCTGTGTTTCCCTCAATTCTACTTTGTAACATCTTTAGCAATTTGTAATAAGGTATTTCTCGAGGTTATTATATTAATAAGTGATACATGTTTCTTCTGTGTGTATGAGTAGTTGTAGCAGTGAGACTAAAATGGCAGCTAACATTGCATGTTTACATTTTGGACTAGAAGTTTCAAAAGCTTTTGCGAGATACATGGGCCCTCTCCAGCTTCTTACTATACAGGCCCATGCTCACATTGCTGCTGTTTCTCACTTGCAATTAACAGATTCCTTCATCGGTGCATCCATTCACAAACAAAACTGATAGTGAACAATATTGCAACTTTAAAATTTGAACTGAAAAGAATATTAGGACTCACCGTTGTTTTAACATCGCATTCACCAGAAATATTGTATGCACCGGTCAGGATACTATTCCTAAATGTGACACTACAACTATTCAATCAGTAGCACTTAGAAGGTTGTGTGTTGTGGTAAGACATCATCTCATTGTCTTGATTGACACTCCAATGCAGCAGTGGGAGGTCTGCATTGTCTAAGGTGTCATCCTTCTATTAAAGCAAGGTCCCATTACCTATTCAAATAGATAGTACAAATCCTGGATGCTATTTGAAGAGAGAGTTTTTTTTCCCCCTGCCGACCTGGCCAACAATCATTCAAATAAATTGCCCATTTACCTCATGGTTATTTTTCGGACCTTGCTGTGTGCAAAATGGCTATTGTGTTTTTCTCCAAAAAACAGTCTCTACGTTTAACAGTAATTCCCTGTGAAGCGCTTGGGAAACCTTTTTGATGTGGTAAGGCACCTATAAAAGTGCAAGTTCTTTCTTCCTTTGTTCAAGTCATAGCTGGGACATTGTGGGACATTGCTGTGCACATACTGGCTGCTACATTCATCTGCAAAATACACTTGACAGTAAATCTTGTGAAGCGCTTTGAGATATTTTAATGATGTAATAATGTACAATATGAAATGCAAGTATTATTATTTATACTATTAAAAATGTCACTTGTGGTATTAGAAGAGTAATCGGCTGAATTTTTTTAATACAAAAATAACTTAAACTTCAAGGGCTGAGTCTATTTTGAATATTTTGCTTATCATTATTGTCCAAAGTTGTGAGGTTCTGATGAGTGCCAGAAAAGGAGAGCTCCAGGATACTATTGGCATTAATTCTATCTTAATAAAGTACTAGGTGACCAAGCTGAAAAGTAATCAATCAACACCATTACTTGTACTATTTTATCCCCTTGCAGACTTGCCCTGAAAGATTGCCATTCATTTTGGCTCATTTGTGGGTTTTTTTGTCTTTCCAGATAGCCTTGGGAACAGTGACAAATGTGGAAGAAGCAGTGAAATGGCTGAGCTACACCTACCTTTATGTGCGGATGAGAGCAAACCCATTAGTCTACGGAATCAATCACAAAGCCTACCAGGTAGAAAGCAGATGAAAATAGGGACACTTGTGTTTTCTTCTGCTGCGTTGTCCAGTACAAGATTACAACCTGGAAAGAAATATTTGCCCATAGAGAATGACTATACAGATCAGAGCATTCCTTTTAAATTCATTAAGAAAACTTGTAGTCATTACGGTGAGAGGCAGGAAAGAATCTGTACCGTCATTGTGACTGACTGATCCCAGCGTTTGTTTAAAACGTCAGTGAAGGTATTGGAAATGCTATGAATTAGCATTTAGTGGTTCAGTGCTCAGAGTCTCATCAAAACAGTTGTCATGCTTCAATTGACGTGAAAACCATTCTGTTTGATTCTAATGGAATGAGTGATTAATGCTTTACGTGGAGACAGGCAAGAAGCGAAGGAGGAAAGAAAAGCTCATCTATTTAAATTGTAAGGGTGGAGGGATAATGGTAGGCTTATTTATTGTCTGCTAAGTACCATTTGTTTTGTGTGGCCCCACCCTGCTGTACTTACCATTCACCTATGTCTCCCATGCAGATGGATTATGGGCTTGAAAAGTATAGGACAGAGCTGGTTATTGAGGCTGGACGAAAATTAGATAAAGCCAGAATGGTTCGTTTCGAAGAGAGGACGGGTTATTTTTCAATAACAGATCTTGGCAGAACTGCCAGCCATTACTACATTCAATATAACACTATTGAGGTATGTAGTTAAGCAATCATATGCACATCTGAAAATCATCACGTCAGCCTGCCTCTCTTGGCAGCATGTTTGCTTCAGAGTCAGAATGTTGTGGCTTCAAGCCTCATGTTGGGACTTTTTGCTCCTGGTGTAGACTGACACTCTAGTGCATTGCAAGGGGAGCTGCGCATTGTCAGGGGTGCTGTCATTTGGATGAGACATTAACAACAACTTGCATTTAAATAGCACCACTCATGCATGGCAGCGGCCTAGAGCGCTTGACAGTGGCGGAGCAAGCCGCCAAGTCAGGGGGAGGGGGGAAGTGACTCTAGGCACAGTCAAAGAGGAAGGTTTTCAGTCGCTACCTGTGGAGTCCTGTAGCTCAGTGGTTAGAGCACTCGCTTTGCAAGTGAGAGACCTGAGTTCAATTCCAGGCAGGGCGAAACCTTGGGCAAGTTTCCTTACTCCACACGCCTAATAATAATCCCTTCAAAACCCCAAACAATAATAAATTGGTCATTTTCAATCTACGACTGTTTGTGGGACACTGCTGTGCGCAATTGGCTGCCGCGTTCGCCCACAAATATACAGTCAATTCACTTTACAGTGTGTTCTGTGAAGCGCTTTGGGACGTCCTCCTGACGTGAAAAGCGCTATATCTAATGCAAGGATTATTATTATTATTATTATTATAAGATAGGGAAGGAGGGGTCAAGGCAAAGGGATAGAGGAAGTGTTCCAGGGTTTTGGGGTGTAGTGGCTGAAGGCATGCCCCTGTTGATGGGATGAAAGGCATGAGGGACAAGCAGCAGGTCAGAGCCAGTCGAATGAAAGCAGCGAGTAGCTACCTTGAAATCGATCCATTCTGTGATAGGAAGCCATTAGAGCCCGTCTAGAACTGGTGTGATGGGAGTTATGGAGTTTAGTACGGGTGAATATGCGGGAGGCGGAGTTTTGTATTCACTGTATTTTGCAGATAGTGCAGCTGGGGAGACCAGGGAGTAGGGCATTACCCTGAACTCCCAACTGCCTGTCCAGGTGGATGTTAAAGATCCCAAGGTACTATTTCAAGTGCTTTGAGATGTCCTCCCAACTTGAATGCCCTGCCTGGTGCAGAAGTTGTACAGTATCCACATTAGTTTTCAAGAGGGAACTAGATAGATATCTAACAATGAATAATTTGCTGAAGTTGTGGGGAAAAGACAGATAAATGGACTGAATCGATTTCTCTTTGAAAGAGCTATTTTAGACATGATGGGCTGAATGGCCTTGTATGCTATAAATTTATATGGTTCCATTGCAAGCTGATGTCGGTTTAAATCTAAATTATTTTGTAATGCTTACTCTTTAGTGCTCAGCAAATGATTTTGGACTGACATGGGTCAATCAGTTATGACCTCATTTGCCCAGAAAAATATACAGTCAATTCACTTGACAATATATCCTTGAAGTGCTTTGAGACATCTCGAAGACGTGATGTGGCGCTATATCAAATGAAAGGATTATTATTGTATTATTATATTACCAAAGCACAAGCCATGCCAGTTTATTTACAAGTTTTCACTTTTACTTTCAGACTTTCAACGAACTATTCAATGCTCACAGCACTGAAGCAGATATCTTTGCTGTTGTGTCTAAAGCTGAAGAATTTGAGCAGATCAAGGTAAAATGACTAGGGGATTAAAGTACTGGGTGCTTCACCATGGAGCATTTGTTCAAGCGCTGAGTGGCTGATGAAGGATGAGCTAAACCAGTTAACGATCGCCCATTGAATGTATTGCCAGGAAATCTTTTGTACTTGAATGGTTATGCCATCATTCTGAAAGGAAAGAGTTAATGAGCTTGTATGTTTAGAGGACAGAAGATGAAGATGTATATGTTTGAAATGATGCAGTCATTTAATGATGAATATCACAAGGTCAATTTTTCATAGACTTTGGCATCCTTTCTGGATAACATTTGTTTGTGGGGCATAGCTAGGTATTACTAGAGACTCCAGTGTATTTGTTAGGAGTGTCAGGATTGCTCTCTTGCCACCAATTCTTAGTCTCGGAGCTTGGACACTTGGAGGTTGGCAATGGAGAGTTGGGAGGGGTGGGGGATTGCCAAGTGGAGATTGCTCTCCTGCTGTACAGGGAGTGGAGCCAGAGGTGAGGAGCAGCAGCGCGAGGCTGCCAGCTCCAGAAGAAAAAATCACCTGAAGAAGGGAAGGCTGTGCAAGGAACTGAGAATGGGAACAAGAGATGTTCCCACATCTGGGATCTTTTGAGTTTGAAGGAGAGAAGGCAAGAGGACTGAAGTCCCTTACTGTGGGTGCCCTCTACACACATTTTACCTGATCTAAAGTGTTGGGTCAACTAAATGTGATTTGTTTGTTCACAAACTATGGCTGGCATTGACTGTTTCTTCCACAACCCTCCATGCCCAGTACAATAAGATCCATTGTCCACTAAATTGACAGTCACTAACAATCAGAATCATCTCTTATTGTCAAACTTAGTTGAAATTATCCACACTAGTTTTATATGGGACAGATAGAGCAGCATTCTAAATTCAATTTCAGTCTAGATGCCAGAGGCAACAGGAGAATGTGCTAATTTACTGCCCTACGAGTTTCCCAATAATCATTTTAATGCCCAGTTTCTTAGTCTTCAACAGCTATACACACATCAAACCACTTAGTTTGCCATTGAAAGCACTGTCTGGTGAGCTGCCTGCTGCTTGTCCAGCTAGGTCCCCCCTACTCATTAGGGCTTTGGCTTGCAGGGTTAACAGCAGTTGAGTGAGAAGAATTATTTCTCCCAGTGACTGGTCTGCCCTCCAGTGGCCAGCTGTTCTGTCATCAGCAGTGCCCTGGAACACTGCAGACCCGTCTGGTTTAGGAGTCGGACTACCGAGACTGCCACAGAGGGTTAACTGGATTCTGACATTCCATTGCTAAGCACATCACTTTGGAGCTAGTTCAGCGCTAAGGAAAGTCCACTTACCTTCCTCCCACCCCCCACCCCACAGGAGTCACTCATCGATCATATGACATCTGACAAGCGCAAGTTTGAGCCTTTACAAGGTGGATGACAGGTACCAGAAACTCCCTTCGAGCTGGTAGGCAACACAGCTCAGCGTGAAATATGCGAGAGCATTGCTACCATCTTCCTCCCCATAGCTCGGACACACATCCCTTCCCATTGAGTGATGGTTCCACTATTTGGAGGTGTGGAGCTTAAGCATCAGCTGCTTACCTGTCTCGGTAGATTCTAAGCCCTGAATGTATGAATATGTGTTCACAGTAACTCCACCCAGCAGCTGTCGTCCCAAGCCTCAGTTTCCTCATCACTTTTCAGTCTGTCTTCATTGGGGTGGGAGGATCTTTATAGGGTAGCTTGTGCCACCTTCATATTCTTAAGGTCCAAATCCAATACCGTGTACCAGGCTTACTTAACGCTAGCTGCTTAATTCAGGTCCTCATGTGATGGGGGTTTGGTAAATCGACATGTCTGCTTAGAAACCGACTCCGCCTCTGGGGTGCTAGGCAACACTTCAGTGTAGGTTGGAGCTCTCCTTCCCAGCAGCCGCTTCCCCTGTTTACCACATGTCCACTACATTAATGATCCTGGACTTCAAAAATGGGCTGAATAAAATTGCATGTTTATTGTAGGTTTTATGATAGCTGTCAGTCAATCACATTACCAGGATGTGCCAACCCTGGGATTGCTGTAAAGTAGTGCTGATTCATACCAACAACAACAATTTACATTTAATATAACTCCCTTCACATAGGATAACATGCATTAGACAGCACATGCATTGCTTTGTATGCAAGGTATCAAATCTACACTAAAGTTCCTGAAAACAGGCTAGTATTATGTGACATTGAGTACCAGAAGCTTATTGCTCAGGAAGGTCTTAGTAGCCACCATACACCCTAGTCATAAAGCTATTTTACTGTGCAATGGTTTAAAAGTGCACAACAGTGCAAATATTTTATTGATATCTTGAGAACTATAGAAAAGTTATAATGTTGAAAAAAGCAATCCAAGGCACAGATTTTCTTTTTAAACTTTATAGGAACAGTTTAATTTTTAAAATATTTTTTGAGATGGGAACCAATTATGTTTTAGTAAAGAAGCTACACTGGTAACTGAATAAATATGGCTATTTTTCATATACAGCTATTCTAGGAGTCAATTCCTTTTTTTCCTGCGATAAGCAAGTAAATGAAAAGGAAAAAGAAAGTCAAAGAGTTCACCTCACCTGAGCAACAGTGTAGAAGGTCCTTCCTTCTGGATTAAAGAGAAAATGGCTAAATAGACCTTTTGTTCCCTGGACTACTAGAGTTAATAACCACACTATCTGAGCCTGAATCTCCTGTTAGTCAGGTGCAGCCTTTAGCTACAATTTGGTGAAGTGTTGTAAATGAAATAGCTGTTTGTATCACTGCTGTTCAGCAAATTCTCAACTTACATGCTGCACTTTGGAAGTGAAAGAACTCCAGTCCGAGCATATTGGCTTACTCCTTTTCTTGTTTCTCGTTTCTTTGAAGCTGTTTATTTTATAGATGTGTTATACTCTATATGTTTTATGAATGCAGAATATATGTTTCTATGGGGAGGACTGAAAATGCAATATTTGTAACAAGAAGTTGAGTGATTCCTGCAAATAACCTCTCTTTCTCTGTGCTCTCTTTTAAAGCACGTCTCAGAACCAATAACAGGAAAGTCTTTACTCTATAGTAATATCCTGTGAATGTGCTTTCTGGGAAGTACTCTGAAGTGAAAGTCGCTTTACAAAATCTATAATGTAATACCCATTATTGTGGGAACTCCACTCCAATGCGCTCAAAAGTAGGTTGCATTAGAGAGGAGTTTTCACTGATTGATGTGATGCACATGTGGTTATCAGTAGGAATCACAGTTTGTGACAACTTGTTACAAATATCACATTTTCACTCTTGTAGTGATATATATTTTGTATCCATAAAACATAAATTACACATCCATGGATATCATGTTTTTGAGGTTTTGGACCTGAAATGCCCAGTAACTTCCTTGAGCCAGAGAAGCAGGTTTCACATTCAGCCGTTTGTTGGTTCTCAAATTCTGTGGGATTAGATTTTGCCAACACATCATGTTGACTTTAAGAAGCCATTTGTATGTGGACTCTATTCACAGGTCACTGGTAACACCCATAAAGAATTAAATATGACCCAACAATCGCAAACTGGAAAATGCTCCCTTTTGATACTAACATACAAGCTTTACAAGTCATTAAATCTTCAATAGGGGCTAGGGTAGGTAGGATAGAGAGCGTAAAATCAGCCAGGGTTCCCTGAATGCGATCCAAATCTGCTAATAGGATAAAGCTCAACTGCAATTTAAGACGAAAGGTTCTCGAGCAGACCATTGAACTGCATTTAAGCTTTTTAATCTTATTAATGAGCTGGTTGCGCAACTATCTCTAAAAACATTAAAAACTAAATCACAAGAGTAATGTCAGACGAGGAGATATAAATCCTGTTTTCCGTTCCAAATCACTCTGATACTAGAAGCAATGATCAATGACTCCAGCAGCACAGATCCAGCATACAACACAACATGTCCTGGACTGAGTCCATTTTGCATTTGTATTGAAGGGTGAAATCAGAATGAAAAGGTGAATTTTCAAAGGTTATTTCCATGAAATTCCTTTCTTGCTATTTCATGTTTGTCCTTATGTTGCTGTAGGTTCGAGATGAAGAGCTGGAGGAGCTTGATCAATTGCTTTGCAACTACTGTGAGCTCCCTGCTGCGGGTGGAGTAGAAAATGCTTATGGGAAAGTTAACATTCTTCTCCAAACCTACATTAGCCATGGCGAGTTGGACAGCTTCTCCCTCATTTCTGACTCTGCCTACGTTGCTCAGGTAAGGTTGTTTCTTGTATGTATGACACATTTTGATTTTTCAGTGGTCTTTACTTAAATGTAGTCCTTTTAAACTATGCAGTAGGACAATGTGATAATATCTTTGCTGCGTACAGTCACATGCACTTCACCCATTAATTTGCATCACACATCAACATCAGTGGATCTGGAAAATAGTTTGGTTTCCCAGAGGCAGAGAGTTTGCTGGTTTTAGTTGTGGAGGGGCTGGGGGAGGGTGGGGGGAAGAGGGGAGGAGAAACCTATATAGCTATATAGCGTATTGTATCTTGGATGTGAAGCTTCTGATGGGGACTGGATTCAGTTTATTGCAGTGTGCAAGTGATGCTGAAACTCTTGAGTGCCACTGTGTTTGCAAAGGAACCCAAACACTGCATTTGGCATTCACAAGTGATGTTTGTTAGTCATATTAGCTGCAACATTAATTTAATTTCTGATCAGTTATATTTTTGTAAAGCATTTTTAGATATTTACTTTTTTACATCAAAAATGCTATATAAATGCAATTTATTACTAAGTGCCCGAAAATTTGCAATGCTGCTCAGCCCTTTACGGGCAGTCCCACAATGTGTGCAGCCAATATCATCCCATCAGCAATTATTGTGCTTACCTACCAACACAGTCTGTGAACACAAGAAGTCAGGCTGTGGGTCAGTTTAAATAGAGAACTGTTACTTGTTGTAATGTGTGTTGAGTTGGGGTGCATTTTGTTCACAGCTTGCGTTACACTAGAGCCGATACAATATTACTTCTTTAGAATAACATAGTTGGGAGTTGGATGAATATACTTGTACATTCAAGTTTTTGAACTGCACCTACATCTGTAGCAAATTAATTGCAGTACGTTTATGAAATAATCTTAGCAATTTCGTGGGTAGATAATGCATTGAAAGATGAGAATTATAGAACACAGGAATAAACTTCTTTATTCTTAGGATATTTCCAGTAATTTGAAATATTCAAATGAGGCGGATTTTGATATATAAACTTTTGGTTTAATTAGGAGAAAGATATTTCTCAGTGCAGTACTAAATGTTATCTCTTAAGGTTGGAATGTCTTACCCATTATCGTTCATTAAATTCCAAATACTTTTGCCACATTGTTAATTACACTTTTAAGCAATCATGTAGGAAATAAATTAAGAAGATATTATTCATTGTCATACTCCAGAATAAAATAATGGCTTGTAGTGTAGGAAACTACGTGGTGAGAAAACCTGCAGTCTAAATCTGGATTCATTAATAAAGATACTGAGTGGGTTTTCTTCCCAGTAATGGGAAAGATTTCATGCCAACTCAAATATATTTGGCATCAAGAGTAGAATTTCTGTCGATGTGAATTTCTTCTATTTTTCTTTTTTAAAGAATCCCATTAGAAATCACTACATATTAGGCCCTATTCAAAATGTTAGATCGAAGGTGAGTCAATGAATATGGGTGATTTTTTAAATAAAAGAAATGAACAAACAAAAAACATCTGAAAAGCAAGACCTGGCCCAGGGAAACCATAACTTATAGTGCATAGAATATTATCAGAGATATAAAGACTAGGCTACCTTTATGTTGCATTTGCCCCCAAAGTACACAGTCACTTCACTTTACAGTATATTCTGTGAAATCCTTTGAGACTTCCTCCCGACATGAAACATGCTATAACAAATGTAAAGATTATTATTATTAATCTATATTGGAAAAAGCAAATGATCCCCTCCCTTCTCCCCAACCTCAACTGCAGCCCCGCTTGCTGACCCAGCAAAGAAAGTGTGAACTCTAGCAGGAGAAATTAAAATGTACCATAAATTCTAAAAGATGTTATAGTTGATGTGTTTTTTAAAAAAAGTGGATCAATGCATTCAAAGAAATTGTAAATATCTTTGTAGCTAAGTGGTTAATCAATTGGACAGCGATATAATAGTACATTGCTGAGGTTGCCCTACTGCATTATTCAGTGCAGCATAAATACAATAAGAGATAGATCATTGCCAGGAATACTCTTATAACTGAATTTAAATTGGTTTCTTTTGGTATAGAATGCTGCTGAAATGAATAGTCAAATGCATTAAAATTGTAACACTACTTAAGAAATTCAGGAATCTGTTAATTGCCAAGTTTCAATTATCCCCTAGATTTGAGGGTGGGGGTGGTGGGGGTTCGTAGTAAAGGTTATTAAGATTATTATTAAGGTGGATGAGGGTGGAGAAACGGTGGAGGAGGATGGCGTGATCGACTGTGTCGAACACGGCAGAGGGATCAGGGAGAACAATGAGACTGATGCTTATTTATCAGAAGCAAGGAAAACTGTTTGCTTCAGAAGCCTATGTGTAAGAATTTCCTTTTAAAATAACATTTTTACTTGATGAAGTTAAAGAGATGTTTCATTATGGTGTAATAAATAGGAAATTGTAGAGGTGATTATTCTACATAGAGGTGATTGTATTTAACTTAGAGGGATATATCAAATATACCTAGAGTTCCTAAAAGGTTAGAAACGTGATGAGTGCCTTGGAAGGAAGAAGTAATTGTACCTAACATTGAACATCTGGCTAAACCTTATAAGATACATCTGAGTTAGGCACACCGATATATCAAGTTCCTATCTACAAATTTAATCTGTCCTTGTTGCTGAGCAAATTGCTACTATGGTAGTTAGTGGTGCACGCATGCTGAAATTTGGCACATTCTAACTGCATTGGATACTTCTTTATTTTGTTTTTCCTTTCATTAGCCACGGTGTGATTCTGTTTTCTTTTCACTAACACCACCTGGTCATTTTTATATTAATAATTTTACAATGTATTTGTCTAAACAAAACATGGTTACTTTATTACTTCCTCCGAAGTGATACTGTAATTTAGCTTCTTCTTACTAGCGAGTGCTATACTTTATTCTCATACGCAAAGGAAACTAAATTAATGCTGTTCAAAAGGCCAGTAATATGAGTGCTTCATAGTTTGTGCTGTGGGAAATCTCCTTCCTCTCATATATCCGGTTAAAGTGCTATGTATCAAACTTCTGGGATGCTGGTTTGATATTTAAATATTTTGAGTATTATTTCAACATCATTGTTAATAAAAGAGAAGGTGCAGAATAATGGAATCTTGTTTAAGGTGACCCCATCAAAATGCATTGATTTCATTCCAAAAACTCAGAGCCTGTGTTTTATGAGGCGCATTATAAAATGGCTGCTAGTCAGCGCTTTTGGGTTGTCAGCTTGCCACTGACCTCGCTTCCTGCACTCAGGAACCTCTCGTGAGCTTTTCCAGTAAGTATTGGGCCACCACTAAACACCAAGAGGTCTACCATTGCCTACGCACAATGTTGATGAAACCAACCAATCAACACCATAAGCATGACGCACGTCTGATGCACACCGTAAGCCCAGAGCATAACCGCGCTGTAAGTGGACAGGCATTATGTATCTTAACTCAACTTAATTTAAGCCTTTATCCTATGAAGCACTGAAATGCAGCAAGCTCCCCACGTCAACAGTGGTCACTATCGGTTCTGGCAACACCAATGGCAGCACTGAAATCATGAGACTGGCTATGGTGCCCAGCAATTGTACTGAATTCATGAGGGTGGGGAAGTTCACACCAGAAGCTAACAGAAATTTGCAATTTATTTTAACAGATTCGATAATAATTAAAATTTGTTACAAAGCACAGCAATTTTCACATCTGTATTTCAGAACAAATTAAAAAACTTAAAGAATGAAACCCATCGCTGAATGGTACCAGATTGAACTAGAACATGCTAGAACCTGGGTTTCAGGAGATAATTTGAGTGATCCGCCATTAGAAATTCTGGGCTGCACCTTTTAGGAAAGTATAAAAGTGTAAGAATGACAAAAGGCCATTTAAGTGCATTTGCTTCCAGGAAGCACTCAGATTATTTTTATTTAACCGTTGCACCAATCTTCGGAAAATTCTTAGATGTTACTAATATAACTCCAGGGCCATCGTAAAACACAATTTTATATTGGGTTACCAGTGTTTCACATGAAACCAATCCTAACACCATATCACAATGGGGTTTATACTTTATTTTGAAATAACATGGATGTAGGGGAAATCATCAAGTAGACTGATTGTGTTTCTTACTGGTATTGTTTTAAGTACAGACTATTTAATTTTTATACATGTATCTCAAAAATATGACTTGATTCTCTGTTTGCAGAATGCAGCTCGAATCATGAGAGCACTTTTTGAGATTGCCCTGCGAAAGCGCTGGCCTGCAATGACCTACCGACTGCAGAACTTATGCAAGATCATTGACAGGCGACTGTGGGGATGGTGCAACCCACTACGTCAGTTCTCTGTTCTGCCAGGTCATGTATTAGCAAAGTTGGAAGAAAAGAAACTTACCATAGATAAGATGAAAGATATGCGCAAAGATGAAATAGGTAAGGTTATTCGAAAAAGACTACCAATCTCTTACAGATTGTCACAATTTTGTGTATAATTTATTTAATACAGATATGTTCTGTATTATTATCTTATTTGATTGTTGTATATTTGTTGACATAATTAAGTCTGAAAAATAGTCTGACTTTTAACAATCCGGTCAACAGAGGATTGACTCATTCAAAATTCTGTAAGTTAACTTTGAGAAATAATTGGCAGCTATAAAACGGTACTTTTTCTGTAGATACAAGATGCTTTCAATGTTACATATCAGGTTTTTCATGTATGTCATAAGTCTGTTTGCCTGAGATTTCACGTACAGTAGTCTATTTCTCTTTAATTATTTTTAATGGGATGCCCTTTGAGATCGCATTTGTTTACCTCAGCCCTCCAGTATAACATATAGTATATGACACTGAATTCATTTGAAAAGTTTAGAATTTTGTTTTTAACAAAATTGGATTAGAATTGACATCAAATAAAGCTTACTAAAAGGTGGTCTTTGGGTCTCGTCTATCGAGGGATTCTATATTCCATTCTTTTAATAGGGAAAAGTTTATTTGTTTCACAATAGTAGTTCATAGTTTGCTAAAAGTACAATTACAAGGGAGATCAAAAGGAAAATTAATTTACATTGGAAAATCTCACAGCAGGCTTGTTAAATAAGGCCATTTGCTAGTGCAGTTTGATTGCCTGTCTATGGTTTCTTGCGATTAAGTACAATTGTTTGACCAAATGTTATTTATTCGGTGCAGGTCACATGCTACATCATGTAAATATAGGGTTAAAGGTGAAGCAGTGCGTCCATCAAATTCCTTCCATATCTTTGGAGGTGGCAATCCAGCCCATCACACGCACTGTACTTCGCGTTCGACTGACCATTACTCCAGACTTCAAATGGCATGACCAGGTAAAATTTCAAATAATAATAATCGTATGCATTTGGTATAATGCCTTATCACATTATTGAAAGGACTCAAAGGGCTTCACAGGGTTTACTGCTTATTTCCTTTCAACTCTATATTATGGTTATGATGCAGAAAATTGGGGCTTCTATTTTCAAGTAAGTATTTTGGCTCATATTTATTATCATTGCACATTAAATCCCATTTTGCCTTCCTAATGTTACACTTGAGGGACCAACATAAGGTTTTCTAAGTTCTGTGACAATCTTGTGGCTTATCTCAGTCAGATATGCTTCCTCAGTTTGACAGCTGGACACAGTAGATGAAGAAAAGGAAAGTATTCAAACCCCAGGCAAGAAACACCTGGATCTCCTATTTTATTTCTTTCTGCTGACTCTTCCAAAGTATTGGTGGTATTATGGGAGAGATCAGAATAACTTTCTCAACACCAATTAATCAAGGAAAGATAAATGATAAGAGGGCAGTTACAAGAAAAACATCTTTTAAATACTATATTAATAGAACAGTGTTCTATACATTTTCTTTCATTTTTTCATTAGAAAAAATGCTGTGTTTTTCTTTATATTGTTCCAATTAGGGTTTGAAAATATATTTAGGAATTCTAGCCATATCATCCACTGATTTAAATCTCCAGGGAACTACTGTCAAATGCACTGAAATCTTTATATAGGATATTATAGGTGCTAAATCAATGAATGTGATTATGAATATCCAAGAATTTTGGCCCCAAACTGATAACTGCAGAACTGATCTGAATGTTAAATAGAGGCAGGGTCAAGCCTCCAAAAGGTCTTGTGCCGTTTCCAGCTTTACACCAGATGCAGCATAAGTGCAAATGGTTCCAAGCAAACCTGTTGCTGCTTAATTGCCAGGCAAGCTGATGTGCCACATTTTGGTTTCCAGTATAAGTAAATTGCCAAAAGGACAGGCCACATTAGAATTGTCACTGTTATTTAATGTAGACCTTTGCACATACCTGCTAAAAGCTGTGCTTCACACCGGACAGGCTATAATGATCAGGGCTGTCAAGTGTTCCACAGGTACAGCAACACTGGCATTGCATTTTCTCTGAATGAAAATGTCTGAGGTAGATAATAATAATAATCCTTGCATTTGATATAGCGCCTTATCACGTCTTCGAGACATCTCAAAGCACTTCACAGAATAAACTGTAAGTGAATTTACTGTATATTTTGTGGGTGAAATGCAGCAGCCAATTGCGCACAGCAGTGTCCCACAAACCGTCTTGGATTGAGTGATCAATTTATTATTTAAAAAATATATATTTTAAGGAATTATTACCCCCAGAAAAGCGATCCGCCAATCGACTAACAACCGGGTTCCTATTTACTGCTAGGTAAAAGAGGCGTGTGGAGAAAGGAAACTTGTCCAACGTTTCACCCTGCCCAGGAATCAAACCCAGGTCTCTCGCTTGCAAGGACTACAGATGTGGTCTGAAAGCAAGAAAGAGTAAATAGCTTAGTCAGAGCTAATGTTCTTGGAGTTATCACTAATGTAAATGAGTGTGAGATGAATAAGGAACTATATTGTCATTTTTGATTTATTCAGAACCAGGTTACACATCATTAACCTTTTGAACTTTACCATGAAAGAAAGGTTTGCATATTGTGTGCATGTTAAAAGAAGGATTTGCAACCACGCAGGGATTATTTTGTTTTGTCACTCGCATTAAAACTGGTCATTCAAAACCATATTTAAAGAGGCTTTAGTGGGTGCAAGACCTGTGTTGGATTTTATAGCAGATTGGATTTCATCATAATGGTGAGCTAACCCATCACTAGCTATCGTGTTAATGAGATTGCCATCTTGTAACGTGCAAACCTGCTGCCACTCTGTATTGGAGGAAGATCTGGGTTGGTTTTCAATTGAGACTTGTGGGAGCCATCCTCTCAACCTGCTTTTCTATTGAGGCCCCTTCCCTTAGCCCATGGTATAAAGACCTACTTTGTGAGCAAAGGGTTATTTTTAGCAACTGTTTGAATGTATCCAGGATAGTTGGTCGCAGTACAGTATACAATGCAAATTATGGAACGAGAAAAGAACAATTGGCCTCATTACCTAGATAACTGGGCTAGACCTGGAAAAGATCTAAGACATCAAGTCTTATCATTGATGTCACTGCATCCATTTTTATTTCCTAGAAAATGTTATGCATCAATAGTCCCTGAACGCCAAACAACATCCTCAAAGGGGAAACTCCTGAATTGGTTTTCTAAAAGAGCTCCCAAACCCTGTTAGGACATAGGGTTCAGTTATTCAAAGGTGTTAAATGCTCACTTTTTATCAGAGCCTCTATAAGTCAGAGCAAGGTTCAGTATGTGCAAATGAGATTGATTTGGGCAGAACATATATCCTGTATTATGGCATGTATTAATGATCTTTTCCACTAGAAAATATTTAATGTGCAAGCCAAACATTTTTGTAAGTACATATGAAATGTGAAAATGGAAATGGCCGGTTGAGAAATATTTCTGGTAAAAAATCTAGAACCTCGTGGAAGCTTGGCTGTGTGTCACACCAACCCGCTGGAAGTCGGCTTGGATGCCGATCTCCTGCCAGGTACAGGGGGCTTGGTTACAGTGAAATTTGGTTAATTAAATAGCGGATAATCCAATTTATTGAATAGAATTTAGAAATTTCAAGCCATTTGCATGCCTATTCGGTTAATTGAATATACAAAGGCATACAAATAATTTGGTTTATTGAATAATTTTCCCATGACATTGGTATAAAAAAACAATTCTGAGTCCAGGTAACTGCATTGTCCCAAATGAGGTCGGAGGTCACGTGGCTTGAGCTCCAGGAGATTAGTTTCCTCTTATGTTTAGTCTGATTATATGAATAGTTTGGTTTATTGGATACTTTTTGCTGTCAAATAGAGCATTCAATGAACAGAATTTCACTGTACTTACAATTCAACGTCACGAAAGTCAGAAATAAGAACTGTATCTGGGTGAACCTCTCGCAGGTCACTGTGAGATGATCTGGAAGTGGAAGATTCAATATTTTCGAATCCTGTTACAAATGCGTGTAAATCAGAGCATGGTGCCTCTAAAACGTTTCAAAGAGTTTACAAAATATTTATCATAAAAACAGGGAGAGCTGGGAAAACTCAGCAGGTCAGGCAGCAGCTATGGAGAAAGGAAAGTGAGTCAATGTTTCAGGTCCATGACGAAGGGTCGTGGACCCGAAACGTTGACTGACTTTCCCTTCTCCATAGATGCTGCCTTACCTGCTGAGTTTTCCCAGCTCTCTGTTTTCGTTTCAGATTTCCAGCATCTGCAGTATTTTGTGTTTTGTACAAAATATTTGTTGTGTGCTTTGGGGTGACTCTTGTTTCAGTTTCACTTGTTTCAGTTTGAAGTGGCACATGTCAGTTTCCATGTGTCTGAAGCAGTACTTACTGCTCAAGACTGCAGCCACTCATTGACTTGTTTGAGGTGCTCAACCTGATTTCTCTATTCGTGCCATGAGAAGCCCATTTTCAGATTTCAAGCTGGAAACTCTGTTGCTTCTGTCAAAATGCCATAAGTCTCTGAGTTCACAGTAGAAATATTTAACTGTCCTGAGTTCAGCCCTAAATTTGAAAGGACAAGCAAAGCCTTCTGGGAATATCAGCCTAAAATCATTCCTCAAAATATTTGTAGAGCTGCAATTTAATGTGTTTCTTGGATTAAAATCTGAACACGGAAGATGCTGTTATCCATGAAGTGAGTATTTACACAGCCAATATACAGTTCAGATGGGATTCAACCCAATGATCACCTTCATTGTGTAACAGTAAGTCCAAATCTGGAATAATATCTACTCTAACATGTCTCCAATTTAGGACTATGGTCTTGAGATCATGTATAACTATAACAACAACTTTTATATTGTGCTTTTCACATCTCAATTTGAATGAAGATGAAATAAGACAGGATAACCAGGAGATAAAATCCACATTTCTTTTTGAGACCATTTTAGTAATTCTGTCTGCCATTACCAACTCAATGGAGGGTTACTTTGCTCCACACCTTCACATTGGTATGGGGTAAAGCACTGCTCCCGATATGGTAAGCTTTACAAATGTATCCCACTTGTGCAAAGATTTATACTATATAATATATATAAAAATATTATGGTTTATTGCATAATTTTATATATAAATATTTATATATACATCTATTACATAATATATTTATATAATATTTAAATGTATCTCTAGCTGCCAAATTTATTCAATTGATTGGACTGAGCCAATGTGTCAGCCTGGCAGAGTGGTAGCACTCTCACCTCTGAGTCAGAAGGTTGTGGGTTCAAGTCCCCCCCATTGGGACTTGGAATCACATTGTCTAAGTTGACACAGTGCAGTATTGAGGGGGTGTTGCATTGTTAACAGTGTCGTCCTTCGAATGAGACATTAAACCGAGTTCCCATCTTCCTGTTCAGATGGATGTTAAAGATCCATGGCACTATTCAAAATGAGAAGGGCGTTTCTCCAGGTGTCCTGGCCAACAGTCCCCCAAATAAAATTGCTTACTCACTCCATGGCTGTTTGTGGGACATTGCTGTGCGCAACTGACTACCACATTTCACCCACAAAATTCACAGTCTTTTCCACAATTCTGTGTGATCTCAATTTTGAGATAAAAAAAATTTAACGGGTTAAGCGGAACCAGTACTGTTTTTTTGCAATCAGGGTGTGGTATTTGGATAAAACATTTTACAGTATATACTGCTTTGAGATGTCTCAATTATATGATAAGGCAATGATGCATTTAATCCAAGGATTGTTATTTTAATAACTAAAATTACTGTAACTAAGAAACGGTTTGCATTTTAATTTGTAAATAATTCTGTTAAATCAGCACTTTGGAACGACCTTCTGCTGTACCGAATGAAAGGTTTTATTTTTAATAACTTGTTGTTTTCTTATATGCTTTTAACTTTTGTACATATTGTGTTGCAGCAGAATATTAAGATTTTGATGATGACTGAAATCTTTCTTAATGTCCTCTGAATCTCTGATACTGTAACACCTTTCTAAAAAATAGATATCCGTCCCCTGAGAAATGCATGGTATTGCAACAGAATAGAGGACATCAATGTAAATTGTCTTACAAGCATTTCAGATAGTTATCCTTGTACTGCAATTGGACAATGTTATTTATTCCCATAGGTTCATGGATCTGTAGGTGAGCCCTGGTGGATCTGGGTGGAAGATCCTGTGAATGACCACATTTATCATTCAGAATATTTCCTCCTTCAAAAGAAACAGGTGAGCTGGAAACCACAAAACTAACGTGAATCACAGCACCTTTCCCACAGCCAGTACATTTGTGGTTTGTGGTTGTTCCTATTTTAATAAAGTAGGGTTAATGCATTCCTGCACTTACTACACGGTTCCTAAGCCATACTTTCAGAGAACACGTTTTTGCTCAGTAGATCTGGGAGACAGTGGAAAGATGTTTTCATTATGTGGCGAAACATCAGAATGAAATCTTGGTAAAGTTAATATCCTTGTGTCCATTATTAATGGGCTATTCTCATTAAAATATTACACTGCTAAGGTCATTAGTTTTACCAACAAACTGAGAATACCTCCAATATGTCTACAAGATAGTAGTTATTTGAAGACAAATGCTGGATGTATAAACTAGAGCAGTCATATCTCATGTAATCTGTCCTCTAATGTAATCTGTCCTTGTACTGTATAATATAAAGTATGTTGGGGAAAGTCAATTGGCTTGTGAAATGTTTCTAGAAGCAGATGTTATGGATAAAAGACTAGATTTTCTTGCACCTTAATTGGCAACCTGACAGTTGTTCACTGATCCACTATTCATTCTCGGTACTCATTCTTAATGATATATTGGGGGGTTTCCAACTTGGTCGTATTGCAATGATCTACTTTGCAGATCAAAATTAAATCTTGGGCCGTATACATAAAGTTAACACTTGACAAAGCATGCCCTGAGCGATCTGAAGACATGAATTGTGGTACTACATCAGAAACTTGAATTCATGTGACATCTTTCCCATAAAAAGTCTCAACATGATTGACAAATATAGTGGTGAGCACTGAGCAGGGAAATAAGAAATTTAAAGATTTTGTCCAAAAAAGTTTGTCCAAGCTCTTTAGCTAATGAAACAAACAATTGTTTTCGATAGTGATGGTATATCATTAGTAGCACTAAAGAATAAAACAATAAGTTGTATTCTAGGGGAAAGTAGATAAAAATAGCTGATATGTACGATATCAGAATGAGTAGTTGCAAATTGTTTGCATGAAATTTAAACAGACATGATTTTTCATTCTGATTCTTTCATTTTCTTTCGTGTTGTATTCAGGTTTTGACCAAAGAGTCACAACTGTTGGTATTTACCATTCCTATCTTTGAGCCATTGCCATCTCAGTACTACATTCGGGCTGTATCTGACAGGTGGCTGGGAGCTGAGGCTGTGTGCATCATTAACTTTCAGCATCTGATCCTACCTGAAAGGCATCCTCCTCACACTGGTAATGTGACTTTGAAAACACCTCAAAATGTTTTCAAATTATTGATGAAATGAATGCAACTGCCATTGAATAGTGTCACAAATGGAATTCTCTCCCTGCAAAAGCAGGAAATCTAACCTAATATCAGCTGCAAGATCATATTGACTTAACATTTTAAGATCACTCAAAACTGGAAAATTCTTAAATTTAATTTGGAAACTGATTCTTTATAATAACAGCAAAAAATCGTTTCCAAATTACCAAATAAACAAAATTACAATTGTATCACGCCTTTCACATTGGGAGGACGTCCCAAGGCACTGGGCAATCAGTGTTTCGGACCCGAGCTGGGGATCGGGATCAGGGAGAGTGAGGGCAGTGGGGGAAGGAGGGTGACTGAAGGCACGGTCGAAGGGTAGGGTCTTGAGATGGGTCTTGAAGGAGGAAAGAGAGGGGATGAGGTGGAGTGACTGGTTTGGAGTTCCAGAGGGTGGGGTCGGAGTGGCTAAAGGCCTGCCGCCAATTGAGAGGCGGGCGAGGTGGGGGACGTGAAGCAGGCCGGAGCCCTCTGAGCGGAGGGAGCGGGCAGATTGGTAGGGGTTTAGGCAGTCGCAGAGGTAGGGGGGAGCAAGGCCATGGAGGGCTTTGAAAGTGAGGACCAGAATCCTCTGTGTGATGGGAAGTCAGTCTTAATTAAGTCTGAATTTAAGAATTTTCCACAATTCTGCGTGATCTTAAATTTTAAGACAATATGGTCTTGACAGCTTAAGTAGAACCGGCAATATTTTTTTTTCAGCAATCAAAAGTGTAGTATTTGGATAATATCCCTTCCTCTTTTAAAGCAGCCCATATTGTTGCAGTTAAAAAAAAGGGTTTCTTATTTATTTTATCATTAAAGAGAACCTTTGGGTTAGTGCGTCTCTATTGCTTACTACGTGTGACGTGTTCAAGTTATTTGTATTTTCCAGAATTGCTTGACCTGCAGCCGTTACCTATCAGTGCTTTGGGGAACCATGAGTATGAAGCATTGTACAAGTTCACTCACTTCAACCCAATTCAGACTCAGATATTCCACACCTTGTATCACACTGACTGTAACGTGCTGCTCGGAGCTCCCACAGGATCTGGAAAGACAGTCGCAGCCGAGCTTGCTATTTTTCGAGTTTTCAACGAGTACCCAACTTCCAAGGTTATTTTTGTGTTGTTTTGTTTTTTACTTTTCTTGCTTTTTCCGTATGGATGTAATATCTCCTAAAAGTTCAATATTAATTTTACCCAGTTAAGTTTAATGTTGTAAAGTAAATAAAGTAAGACATGATATCAGTAAAACATTTTTACCAATCCTAACTTCTAATAAAAACATTCCTTTCTCTGATTGTTAACATTCCAAACTAACCTGTTGTATTTAAGAGAATTCTACTCTGTACAGTGAAGGTAGAAACAGTTCATTGATTTTTCTAAAGCTTCATCTAGTGACCTTTTACCTCTTTGGAATGGTTTTTCATTTCTAGGCTGTTTACATTGCCCCTCTGAAGGCTCTAGTCCGTGAACGAATGGAAGATTGGAAAATCAGGATTGCGGAGAAACTGGGTAAAAAGTAAGCATGAGACAAACTTTTCTGACTATCTCTTACAGCTGTTTCATGCTTGATTCTCTATTGTCAAGTCAATTATGGGAATTTTTGTTTTCCATGTCTCTACAAATCCGACTGGTATTCCCATCTGTGGCGTGCCCCAGGGTTGCTGTGTATTTTGTGGCAGTCTCACTGCCCTTATGTGTAGTTCAGCAAATGTTCAGGGACATGGATCAGTAATTAAGCTGCTAGTGCACGAGGCATCCTGTGGTGATGTGGAGAAAACTAGAATGTATGCTTTTAATCAGTGGCCGTGGTGCTACAAAGCCCTGTGCTTTATATTTTTATTTTCTATTATTTCTCTCAGTTTTTTAAATTTTAACAAAATGCACAGAATTAACTTAACCAGGGAAGAGTGGGCAGGGTAGGAAGCGAAGCGATTTCTGGAAACAGCTCAGCGATTAGGTCAATGGCACACAAACACGCTTGGCCCATTAAAAAATTTTGCATCCTCCGCTCACCTGACTTTCCAGATGTTCCATTCTCATTTTAGTTTTACCCCCAAATGATTTCCAGGCCACTCTGTATCAACACATATATTTTGTAGGAGAAGGGGGAATTTTTGTGAATGTAGTTGTGTTTTCCTGGTTTATTTTCATGTCAAATCCTCCTCCAGTACTTTATAGGCAAACAGAACATGATTAATAGCACTTTGGTAATGTAGAGTTTGAAGGAGCTTTCAATCATTTTTCTGGTCAAATCTGGCAATTTTAATGAGAACAACCTCAACCACTAGCTAAGTATAATTAAACACCAAATTAATCATTTTCTGTTTTTAAAAAAAGCAATTGAAATGTATAGCCCAGATTATAACAATAATAATACACCTACCTTGCCTTTTATGTAGCTCCTTTTACATTTAAACACTTCAAACTTTTCCATATTTCTACAAATTCTCCTGGTATTCCCATTTGTGGCATGCCTCACGGTTGGACTACTCCTGTTTCTATGTTTTAAACGTAAGTTTGTATTTGGAGGCAAACAAATACATAACTTGCTGAAGCAATTTGTTATATTTAAAAAAAGGAAAGAAACTCAGTTGATCAGTGAATCATAACCAGATTTTTAAAGGTAACAACAATTGTTTTGGGAAAACCTTTCATAATTCCTTCTTTCACAGCTATGATCTAAGATTGTTCTACATGCCTTCACCCTTTAACTAAAACATTTCTTCCGCACTTCCATATGATTTTTGTTGTCCTTATTTTGAAGCTATGACCCTTTGTTCTTCAAGTTTGTACACAACAGAAAAACGTAATTTCATTCACATTGATGATGTAGTGTCCACTGAGAAAACTATCAATTTTATAAATTCACAATGAGACTTTGTGAATCATCTGAAGGAATATGTAAAATCAAATAAACTTGTTCCCTGATGCTTTAAGGTCTTGTACAAATTCCTCATCTGTAGCATGTGTGTGTCCTCAGAGTAGTGGAACTGACTGGTGATGTGACTCCCGACATGAGGGCGATTGCCAAGGCGGACCTTATCGTTACCACCCCTGAGAAGTGGGATGGCGTCAGCAGAAGCTGGCAGAACAGGAGCTACGTCACGAAGGTGTCAATTCTCATTATAGACGAGATCCATTTGCTAGGTGAGCAATGGCATTAAAAACTGTTCGTAGAAAACTGGTATATCCAAACCTTTCAATGTCTTCCTATATGTGAGACGATTTATTCTGTGTTTAAATTCCTTAGTTTGGCCTGCACAGATATGCAATCTGCGTAATCCATTTAATATGTTTTGCATGTTTTAGTGAAACTCTTAAGTTTATTAAACCCTTTTAAGAATGCAACAAGAAATTAATGCAGTGACAGGGCAACACATTTAGACTTCTCTGTTTCTCTATATTCACCCCTTATCACTCCTATTACCTGATGCTACAGGAACCAAAGGTCTTCCAAGTCCTTTGCGTGTGAACCTGTCTACTGAGTGCCAATGGCCATTCACAATGAAAAGGGTCATCACAACAGAGTATGATCCTGTTCTCACCATTTATTGATGGCTATACTTCATCCGGGAGGGGGCAGGGGGGGCACTGGTTGGGGAGCAAGAACCTTAGCTGATGTTTCTCCCCCTGCCTCTTGTTTGCCCAAGGGCAGTGAAGATAATTGCACCCTACAACTGGCCCAACTGCAATTTGTATACCTCGCCACATAGCAGAATTTTTTTTAAGTTTGTTTATAATAAAATCTTGTTTTTGCCTGAAAATACATTTCTGAGCTCAGAAGAAAGTATTTTTAAAAGCTTTGAAGAAATCGGATCTCTTCCTAATAATTTGTAATTTTCTTAGACATTTCACAGTCACTTCACTTTACAGTGTATCCGAAGAAGCAATTTAATACGTCTCAAATCAAACAAATTTAGGGATAAATTTATTTATAGAACCAGTACCAGCACTGTGTCCTTTTCAATCACCTGACACAGAATAAAAGTTGAATACTATGCTTACATTACTGAATTGCTAGTTACTGCACTCCTGCCGTTGTGAGCTTGACTGTGTTGAAAAAATCTGCCTGCCTTGAGATCCCTGTGGATCAATCATTTTGGCTGCTAGTTGTCTACTCGGTGTCTCTCTCGGAGCACTTCAGCCTAGTCCACAAAAGTGAAAGATTGTTTACGGGTCCATATTGTTGTTTATGGTGGAGAAGGACTGTTGAAGGTTATCCAGAGATCAGTACCTGTACTTTAAAAAAGTGTAACTGTTTTGCAGGGGATGAGAGAGGTCCTGTACTGGAGGTAATTGTGTCCCGAACCAATTTCATCTCCTCGCACACCAAGATGCCTGTAAGGATTGTGGGACTGTCCACTGCATTGGCAAATGCCAAAGATTTGGCTGACTGGTTAAATATCAATCAGGTAAAGGCAATGAATTGCAGCTCATCTGCTCATAGCAAATGCATTACTTTTGGCTGCAATTTGCAAATGACCAATTTGATGTTTCAGTTCACAAGCAGACATTTGAACAGTGCACAGACGCATCTAAACACATCCAGGTGGTTTAACGGTATACTGAAGAATCCATTCGACTATTGTGCAGCAGTGTGCACATTATCTGCATCATTTCATCACAGTGTAGATTAAAGCCGCAACTATTGAATATGTGCACGTATGTTTTAACAGATCAAGTGCAGCAACTACTTTTTAGCTGTCATCTANTTTTTGAGTTATAAAGAATTATATGTAAAATAAGTTAATGCATTGTGTTTTTTTTTCTATGATTTAGAATGGTTTGTTTAACTTCAGACCATCTGTTCGTCCAGTTCCTCTTGAAGTTCATATTCATGGCTTCCCCGGACAGCATTACTGCCCTCGCATGGCTGGCATGAACAAGCCAGCATTCCAAGGTAATTTTCAGTATTACAGAGGCTGCAATGCAGTTTTAAGACACCAAATATATTCATCTGCTCCAATGCTGATGTTTTGGGGATTTACAGTGTATTGTAGGCTGCATTAACTATTGCTGTATACCTCATAAGAATATTTGATCCCAGTACCCAGCTTTGGGAGAAAAAACAGTGATAGTGGCTGAAAGTTGTCACTTTGGATTTGTTCTGAAGGATTTTATGCTCAAGTCACTTCATTGATCTCTGGTTTGTTAATTCAGTAGCTTCAGAAATATTTTGTCATTTATTTCTCTAGTACAAGGAAACTCCACTATAACACTCTTTCATATAGCACTACCTTATTTACAGTCTACTGTGGTCAGAAGTGTGATCTTTCCAGGGATAACCAGGTGATTTCCCTGTCCCTAAATAAAAGCCCTGTAGCTCAGTGGTTAGAGCACTCTCCTTGCTGGCAGGACGAAACCTTGGGCAAGTTTCCTTACTCCACACGCCTAATAATAATCCTTCCAAAACAAAAAAACAATAATAAATTGATCATTTTCAATCCACGACTGTTTGTGGGACACTGCTGTGCGCAATTGGCTGCCGTGTTTCACCCACAAATATACAGTCAATTCATTTTACAGTATATTCTGTGAAGCGCTTTGAGACGTCTAGAAGATGTGAAAAGCACTATATCAAATGCAAGGATTATTATTATAAAAAACAACTTCCAGGTCATCAAATTGCTGCTTAAGTCACTTCCTACATGCATACACTGCTGGCATCACATGCAAAGGAAACTGCTGATCCATTTATTTGTATCTCATGTTAGAACGGGCTGACCATGCTATAAGAAGGTTTCTTTTCCCTGTATTATTGTAATTGTTTGTTCCATTTGGGGGCATTTTCTTTTTCTTAACCAATTTTCCAATGTTCCCCGCTCTGTATCAGCTTTGTTCAGCGCCTTACTCTGATGGCTTGACCAAACTCACAAGTGAGGGTTCACTCTAAAAAAAAATCCCCGGTTTCCTGCCCTGTCTGAATCCAAAAACCATGCACTTCAACTGTTTTCTTGTATCCAGCACTTAAAGTTTAAGATCAAGTCATGACGCCTGCCAAGTATCATGTTCCAAGCATAATAACTGTTTTGTGGTTTTAATTTTTCTTCCGAATAGCAAACAAGTTCTACAGCTGTGCACAAAGCATGTGGCATTGACCTCTGCCCCTCATTCCTGGTGGCCACCAATCACAGAGCCAACAACTCAGACCAGAGATTTGGGGGTCTGGCCCCATTGTAAACGAGCCGGGCAGTCGCCGGTCTTGATCCCTCACTAGAAAAACGAAGTGTCGACAAAGCATCCTGTTTGTGTCTGCCTAATAAAAGAGCAGTCAATATTACAATAATAATCCTGCCATTTGATATAGCGCCTTATCACGTCATCAAAACAACTCAAAGCGCTTCACAGGATTTTTCTGTGAAGTGTAGTGACTGTAAAGGCGATTTTGTAGGCAAAGTATAAAAGTAAATAAATAAAAGTTAAGACACTGAGGGAAACTGGAGCTTTCAGTGTGCAAGTGGCCATCCTATTTCACTTTGGCAAGTATTTGTTAATTCCATTGAGAATGCATTCAGTATTGATCATGCAACAGCTGAAAAAAAATTCTTAAATGCTTAACCACTGTGTTTTCAAGCTGACAGTTTCTGATCGTTTTGGGTCAGTCTCATTACAGGTATATAGCTGAGCTAATTAGCTGTATGACATAAATGTGGGTATCGATTGTGAGGAGGCTGCTCAGGACAGCTCAGATTAATTATAACTTGACAGTTGCAAAGTACTAAAACGCTAATGAACAATAAATCTGTCCCAGCCTATTCAGCTACACCTGTTCCTAAAGCACCAACAAGCCATTAGACGTCAACCTTTTACAAATAGTTCTGTTTGATTGTTTGTTTATTTCTTTTTTCTAACAGCTATTCGGAGCCATTCCCCAACAAAGCCTGTGCTGATCTTTGTGTCGTCCAGGCGTCAGACTCGCCTCACAGCTCTGGATTTGATTGCCTTCCTGGCAGCAGAAGATGACCCTAAACAGTGGTTACACATGGACGAGAGGGAGGTAAAGTGCACAGTTTAAATATGAACTGCGAGATGCCTGCAATTTCAAAAAATAACATTTATTAATAGAAAAACGCTTTATAATCACCTTACCACATCAAAACATCTCAGGGGACCTCACAAGTCGCAACACGCAAGTGACTGTTTTCATAGGCAAATGTAGCAGCCATTTGGACCACTAATATCGAGGATTATTGCGAGGATATTGGAAGAAACTTCCTTCTCTTTCTAAATATAGCTTGGAATCTTTAGCATCCACTTAAAACACATGCACCTCTGACATTGCAGGACTCTGCTGCTGTCTGTATATTTGGTTTTGGTGCCAATTATAATCAAATAGCTTGTCGACATTCACGGTCCAAACTCACACGTGAATAATGATCACTTGGTCAAGGTAAAAAGGGTTGCTACTGCCTGTGGATCTGTACCCTAACAGGTGTCAGCAAATTGAATCAGCATAAACTTGCAAACACTGTCCTCCTGGCAAGTGACTGAGCCCACTCGAGAGAAAACAATTCTGTGGCTGGGGAGTGTGAAATATCACCTCTGCTCGGCAAATCTAGCCCCCTCCTCACTGCAACAACTATGGTGAACAAATATTTTTTATAAAAAGACTAGAAACCTCTCTGCAGACTAGAACTTACAAAAATATGATCATCTCACGTCAAACGAGAATCAAGGATAATGGTCAGCGTGGCTCAGTGGTAGCACTCTCACCTCTGAGTCAGAAAGTTGTGGGTTCAAGCCCCACGTCAGGACTTAGTCTTAAGCTGACATTCCAATGCAGTGCTGGGGAACGTTGCATTATCGAACGTAGAGTCCTTCGGATGAGACGTTAAACCGAGGTCCCGTCTGCCTGTTCAGATGGACATTAAAGGTCCCATGGAACTATTCGTAAAAAGAAGGGAGCTTGTCTTGGCCAACAACCTCCCAAATAAAATTGGTCACTCACTCCATGGCTGTTTGTGGGACATTGATGTGCGCAATTGCCTGCCATGTTTCACCCTCAAAATACAGTCAGTCCACGTTACAGTATATCCTGTGAAGCACTTTGAGATGTCTCAACGACGTGATAAGGCGCTATATCAAATGCAAGGATTATTATTATATAATCTCTCAGAGCACTTTACAGGGAGAGGATTGGACACCAAGCAAGGTAGAGGGAGGAGGCCATAGGCACATTCCAGCAGTGAATTTCACATTCCCTCGAGCCTCTGTCTTTCCTAGACATCCAAATATTGGAAGGAGAAGCTCTGACTACTTTCCACCCCAGCCCCTAAATTTAGGGGTTCTGAGGCCATTTGAAGCGTTCTTGCCCCCGTTCTGGCTGAGATTGGCTTGTTAAGCACAACCTAGAGAAGCTATTGTGCGATGCGCTGCATGCTGTCTTCTGTAATTTATTTCAATCTGTCAACAGGCACAAGTGCGTTGTGGATGATTTGCAAAAAGGAATATCTGAGAACCAGATGTGTGCTCACACCCTGCTATGTTGCGTAATTGAGGAAAAGTTTCCTTTGGTTTGCATAGGAGGATACTACCCTGGTGTAATTGGAATGTTGTGTAGAGCTAGTGGTGGAACTCAATGCAGAATTAAACCATTCTGCCCTTCACAACTCTGACAAGGCCAATACAATTTTTGTGCAGCTTACTAATGTTTATTTTCTAACGTTCAATTACTGGTAATGTCTGCAAGCTGCTAGATGTACTAGAGACTAATGTATACCTGGCAAAAGTATCTCTTCAATTAACTACAAAATGATGTCCAGGAATTTGATTGCAGTATTTTTATTTTTCCCTACAAAATTCTTGTTGTTTTAGAATTTATTTGTTGTTCAGCATCCCTGATATAGAAATGTATAGTAGTGTATCAAACCAGAAAATAATTATTATGCATCTGGCCAGACCCATTTTCTAAATATTAATTGTCTCTAAGTTTCAAACTGCTGAGTCCCCAACACCAACATAAACATAGCAAATTTCCTCTTGAAGTTGTTCACAATATCCACTTCAATCCATTATCACCTACTTGAGCAAATGTTTTCACCCACTGCACAAAGCAGATAAATCTAAACTCTGTTAACTTTTCCAAACATCTGAACTTGAATTATAACTCCCTTTTTTGGGCTTCTTGATTATATCTTGACTGTATGTCAGCCTGCCTCAGTTGATAGCACTCTTGTCTTTGAGTCAGAAAGTTGATTCAAGCTCCACATTAGAACTTTGAACTCACTACACTCAATGCAGTGCCGGGGATATGCTTCAATTCCAGAAGTACCGGCCTTCGGATGAGACGTTAAACCAAGGTACCGCCTGCTAGTTCATATGGATGTTAAAGATTCCATTGCATTATTCGAAAAGAGAAGAAAGTTTTTTCCATTTCCTGCCCAACAACCCTCCAAATACAGATTGGAACCCAGTTGTTAGTCGATTGGTGGATCGCTTTTCCGGGGATAATAATACCTTCAAAATAATAATAATAATAAATTGGTCACTCAATCCACGACTGTTTGTGGGACAATGCAGTGTGCAATTAGCTGCCGTGTTTTGCCCACAAAATATACAGTCAATTCACTTTACTGTATATTCTGTGAAGTGCTTTGAGCGTCTCGAAGAAGCAATAAGGCGCTATATCAAATGCAAGGATTATTATTATTTACTTCATGGATGTTTGTGGGACATTGCTGTATGGATATTGGCTGCCATTTTCACTAACACAATCACAACACTTCACAGTAAAAAATGTTTGGATGATTTGTTAAGGCACTATATCAAATGCAAGGATTATTTATTAAATATATTATTGAGGTCTATCTTATCTGCACCCTTTATGATCTGTAATTTTTCAGTAAGTCTCTCTTTGCAGCTCAGATGTCCATCAGTTTGGACACTGAGTCCTCTGTGCTATAATAATGAGGGCATCTATTGGAGATGACAAACACCAGAATTGTACAATACTGCAGGACCAGTGCTTTGAGGGCTCCTGTTGTGTAGGTTATAGCCTGGGCCAATAGAAAAGTGCGGAAATGTTTGCCCCAAATTGCAGGGAGATTTGAAGATTCCAGGGGGAACTTTTGACAAATTTTGCAGAAAATGGCAGGGAGTTGATTGAATCTATTGAGATACGTTTTACTGCCAACCTCCATTTTTTCACTTTATTGATAAAAACTAAATATGAGGAAATAACATTTTTTTTGGTGGGCTACAGGAGCCCTCAGGGCCCAGCACCGCACACAGACCGAGAGAGAGACAGACACAGAGAGACATAAACACGTTCAGAGACACAGAGAGATACGCCACACTCAGAGAGGGAGACACAGAGAGAGAGACACGCACACACAGAAACACAGAGAGAGAGACACACACAGAAACACAGAGAGAGATACCCACAGAGGCACGCACAGGCACTCACAAACGCATATAGAGGGACATACACACAGACACTCCCACACTTACACACAGAGAGACACACAGACAATCTCAACAGCGAAGCCTCCGAGAGAAGCCCATTTGCCGCTTGCGCCACCCATAGTGACGTCAGGTCAACAGTCGGGAAGCCCACGGGCCACAAATTCATTTGTAGAGGATTCTGCGGGAAAAATGCGACCGCTCTTTTCTATTGGCTCAGGATATAACCTTAAAATCAGAGCCAAACTAATTCAATGCTGTATACAACACATTTCTTCACACAAAGGGTTGTGAAAATATGGTGAACATTTGTTTTTACAAGAACAGTGGTCCATAAAAATGGAATCACTAAATCTCACCTAATATGACCCGATCATTTAAATTCTCTTCTTATACAGAATAGTAAAGATTGTGTGCCTGACTGCAGTAATGAGGAAATGGTTGTACTAGAGCTATGGGAATATGCTTACCCACTGTGTAATCCAACATGTATCTGAATGAATAGTCGAGGGCTGTAAAGGAACAATTGCTCAAGTAAAGGAATAGCGGGGAATATGTATTTGCGTGAGCCACAGTGCTCCAGCAAGCTGGATGGCCTTGAAAGTGAGGACGAGGATCTTGAATTTGATTCTCTGGGGGATGAGGAGCCAGTGGAATCGGGCGAGGGTGGGAATGATGGATTCACGGAGCATGGTGCGCGAGAGTACACGAGCTGCAGAGTTTTGGATGATCTGCAGCTTATGAAGGGAAGAATTGGGAAGGCCGATGAGGAGGGAGTTTCCATAATTGAGCCTTGATGTGATGAATGTGTGGGTGAGGGTTTCGGCAGCCTGAGGGGTGAGGCAGTGGCAGAGCGTGGCAATGTTGCAGAGGTGGTGATACACAGTCCCAGTCATGGTGCAGATGTGGGGCAGAAAGAACAGTTCAGGGTCAAACAAGATACCCAGGTTCCTGACCGGCTTAGTGAGGTTGAGTGTGCAGCCATGGAGGCTAATGCTGCCAGCACCCGAGGTGCAGAGGCGCTGGCGCGAGCCAATCAGGAGGGCCTCGGTCTTGCTGACGTTGAGTTGGAGAAAGTTGTCCCTCGTCCAGGACTTGATGTCGGACAGACAGTCAGTCAGGACGCCAGTAGTCCTGGAGTTGAGGGCGGAGGCAGAGAGATAGAGTTGGGTGTCATCCGCACACATGTGGAAATTTACCCCATGTCTGCGGATGATGTCACCAAGGGGGAGCATGTAGAGGGTGAAGAGGAAGGGACCGAGGACAGAGCCCTGAGGAACACCGCACAAGACGGTGCAGGGGCTGGAGGAGAAGCAATCTGCTGAGACGGAGTGGAGGCAGTGTGAAAGGTAGGAGCTGAACCTGTCGAGGACAGAACCTTGAAGGTTGAGGTGAGAGTTGAGGCGGGGAGGAGGATTGAGTGGTCCACAATATCGAAGGCATAGGCATGTTTCATGTCTTCATGTCTCCCGCTCGGCCCACCCTACCATCAGTGGCCGGGCCTTCGGCCTCTCTGCCCCCAACGTTTGGAACTAAATCCCACAATTTATTCGCCTCACTCCCTCCCTTGCCAACAACAACTTGCACTTATATAGC